CTTTATCTGATTGAAATTTTATAGAATTGAATAACTTTCATTATTAATTGATTTTTAGTTTTTTGAGAAAAAAAAAACAATTATTATTTGTGTATGATTCTGAGTCGTACCATTCGAAATATCTTATTTGTTTTACTCATTCAAGATTCAAATACAAAATATTTGTAAGAATTCAACATTTGAATAGTTTAATAACCCATGACACTTTTTTTTTGTTGATTAACGCTATGAAATTTTTTTTCTTTTTTACCATATTTGACAAGTTTTTTTTTTTTTTTTTATTGTTAAGAACAAGTTATTTGACATCTGCAGTCAAGTTAGATACTTCGTCAAACAATTTCAATAATATTTCTGACAGCGACAAGCAACATTGATTACAGGATAGTTGTCAGTAAAAATCTTCTACGTTAAACTTTTTCTTGACTTGTTTCTATTGATATGTAGTTTTAGTATCTTTGTTTCTATTGTAGTTCTATATTATTTGTTTAATATTTAATTTACACATTATATAATACTAAAAGAATGGAGAACGTACGATTTTGAAAAATCACATTACTTTATTGAACAAGACATGTCCTAATAGATCTTGATTTTTTTGCTTATAGAAATAGGATCTTACTTTAAAACTCATTCCAGGTCTGTATTTATCGTGAGAAAAAAATTATTTATTAAAAAAAGGGAATCATGTTATGAACATTATAAAGTTAAATTATAGATACCCAATGGACTAGACAATTGGTACTGTATGACATAGACTCTGAGACATGAAATTTCCATTTTTTCGATATCGTTACTTTTTAGGAGAATATAAAACATATGTTTCTAACAAATATATAAAATATTTAATATAACTAATTTTCTTTTTTCTTTAATCAATAAATATAAATTAATTCAATAAAGAATAAACATTTTGTGTAGGGAATTCTCGTTTCTCAAGAGCCGACTATTGTATACAACTTGTATTTATAAAAACTTTCGCTATATAATTACAGACACATGATCTTACTAATGGGTTATACCATTATTGTTCATGATTTGTTTACGAAAAAATATAATCAAACACGTTTCATGAATGTCGCTATCGTTCGAAGTGAATTTCAAAATACTGTTCATAATTTTAACAGAAATAAAATCGTTTTGATAATAATATTTCAGTAAGCATTCATCACTAACATTTTGATGGTTCGTAGATAATAGTGAAATTAATGAGTAATCTATTAAATAAAAAAATCTATGTATATTTTTCAACATGATAATATTGAAATCAATCATATGTAAAAATATCTTCATGATCTTGCTGAGAACAATTTAATGAGGCGGACAATCAAAGATAAGAATAAAATGCATCATCTTCAATATTTTAATGCAACTTCATACTTATTAGCATCAGAAAAATATGAAAATATACTTGATTTTTGCATTTGATTTTAATAATAACTATAGTAATCAAAGTATTTTTCAGAAGTGATCTTTGTGTAAGTACACTTTTAAGCTATGAACAAAGACATATTATTACAATTTGAAACAGGATGATAATGTGTCTCATGCTTTATTCTACTTTTCTTAAAGATTAATAGAGAGATTCCATAATGGGAAGAATGCTTCGACCAACACTTCTTCGATAGCGTTTGTAACATATAAGTGAAACCCTTGCTCTTCTATAATCTGCCACATGAAAAAAAATAGTCTTGGGCTTATTTGCCGACACTTCAAGTTTTAATTGGTTTGTTACTATACGTATATTCTTTATCTGCTACTTATCCTATATCTTCTGATTCTCGGACATTTTGGTTATATTTTAAAACAATGAACAATCACCAGATTTATGAATCTTTCTCATTATGAAAGCAGACTTTGATGTTTACATCCTATCATTTAATAGTATTTGATAGAAGAGAAATATTCAGTTTTGCGTTCATAGAAAAACTTGCTCTATTCAAAGTTGTTGATCTCTTGTATGCATCATTCACGTGACATATTCGCCATGGGAGTTCATTACAATCCTGTGAGGATTTATCAATAAAAGAAATTTCAGAGTCCTTCTTATATGTCTATTGCGTCAGATCAAATGAATGAGATTTCATGAATTTCACAATTTTTAAATACAGATGTAATATTCTGATTTCTATCGAATGATTATAAAAACTGTTCAATGTTGTGATTAATGAACGATCACTAGCTTCGATCTTACCTAGAGAAAAAAAGAGAATCTCAATAACTTCTTCTGAAACAAGATATATACTTCGTTGTTGTTCGTCAATCATGAATAGTTTATGAAAGAAACCAATAACTGTAAAATGTACCACTAGAAAATTAATTTTTGACGTCTCATTCAAATTATTTCACAAGCACTTTTCATAAAATCATATGAATGATATAGATATTCATCTTATTGGTTTTTTTTTGGAAGCCAACAGAGAATGTAGCATATTTATTTTATTTTAACTAGTAGTGTCTCAATACTCAGAGACACATTCATTTTAACATATTCAAAAACTCGCAACTATGCTTGTATTTTGATACATACACTTGTACATTGTTTTGTATCAAATTGCTTGCAACTGTAATCATTGTAGAATATTTCATTAGCTACATGACATAGTCAACTTCTGCCTTGCTGCTATGGCTAAGTGGCTACGTTATTCGACACGTATTCACAAGGCACAGTATGCAAACTTCAGTACCATCAACTATGAATTGACTCTGGATAAGTCATTAACGATTATTGGTCTCGGATCATCCGTCTCCAATAGTATGCTGCACACGTTGTGACATACACTTGCTCTTGCGCCTAGTATGTGGTTAGTTAATGCGTACGGAAAGATCAAGCAATTAATTGATTCCACCCTTAGGCAGCACACAGACAGAGTTATTCTTCTTCTTATTTAACTTCTTCGTTGCTTTTTTATTTGCTGACGAATATATACATAATAATAGACAGAAAAAACAACAAATATTAGTTTATTCTATTCCCACAGATTTCATTGATGAAAATAAAAATGAAATAGTTTTGTCATCGTTTATAAACATTTTATGTTTGTCATATCAATAGACAAGCCATTGTCTCTGTATTAAGCATATTTATGTCAAGTGTGATACAAATATAACTTATTTAGCTACATTGTATTTTATCCAATTATCGAATTTCAATGCATCGTTTAAAAATTGTTAATGGTTATTCACTAATCATTCATGTTGCTGAAAATATACTTTCTATGCCATAGAAAGTTTTTATCACAAATTTAAGTTACATATTTGAGCAATCAACAACGATTATAGTTGCTTTTACAGCTGATTCACCAGATTATTATTAGAGTTTGCTTTAACTTGTTTATTAGCTTTGACAAAAACAATACAAATAATTGCTCGAAAACAATTAATCAACACCAAAAAGAACTATATTCTCTGATGAATTTTCATTTTTCTAGTACTACTTCATTAATTTCATTGATTTATGATATTATTCATTGACTTTGACAACCAGAATTACATCCAGGGAAATCGATTGGTATAGCTGGTGTCATTCTTGGTTTAGTTGATATA